AAAATTGACTATAAAAGAGCAATAACTCCTTAAGGGGTCAACTGACCATTTTGGTCATGTTGACTTATTTGTAGAACTTACTTTGCTGAACATTATTGCTGTTTACAGTTTATCTCTATCTATAATTATATTCAAGATAATAACCAAATAAGGCAAAATTTCCTTAAAATTACTAATTCAGGGGCAGCAACCTAACAACGGGTTGTCCCATTCATCTGAAAATTTCAGGGCAGATAGATCTTGAGCTAATAAACATTTTTACCCTTGTCAGATTTGCTCTCAATGCTTTGGTTTCAGAGATATAAGCCAAAATCTACATTTTATCCCTATGTTCTATTTTTAACCATGGCGGCCATCTTGGTTAGTTGGCCGGGTCACCGGACACATTTTTTAAACTAGATACCCTAATGATGATATTGGCCAAGTTTGGTTAAATTTGGCCCAGTAGTTTCAGAGGAGAAGATTTTTGTAAAAGTTTACGGACGACGGACGCCAAGTGATGAGAAAAGCTCACTTGGCCCTTTGGGCCAGGTGAGCTAAAAAAGGAACACCCCCCCCCCCAATTTTTTGAACCCCCTTATGATTCATAACCCCCAAACTCAATCCCAGCCTTCCATTTGTGGTTTGGTACCTTGCAGTACAATTTCAGAGAGATCCATACACTTGAACACAAGTTATTGTCTGGAAACTAGAAAAATGCTTGTTTTTTGGCCCCTTTTTGGCCCCAAATTCCTAAACGTTTAGGGCAATTACCCCCAAACTCAAACCTAGCTTTCCCTTTGTGATATGGAACCTTGCAGTAAAAATTCATAAAGATCCATACACTTACACACAAGTTATTGTCCTGAAACTAGAAAAATGCTTGTTTTTTTGCACTTTTATGGCCCCTAATTACTGCAATTTTGAGGGTATTACCCCCCAAAATCAATCCCAGCCTTCCCTTTGTGGTATGGTACCTTGCAGTACAATTTCAGAGAGATCCATACATTTGAACACTAGTTATTGTCTGGAAACTAGAAAAATGCTTATTTTTGGCCCCTTATTCCTAAACTTTTTCGGCAATTACATCCAAATTCAATTCCAGCTTTCCCTTTGTGATATGGAACCTTGTACCTTGTAGTACAATTTCATAAAGATCAATACACTTACACACAAGTTATTGTCGTGAAACTAGAAAAATGCTTGTTTTTGGCCCCTAATTCCTAAAATTCGGAGGCAATTACCCCCAAAATCAATCCCAGCATTCCCTTTGTGATATGGAACCTTGTGATACAATGTCAGAGAGATCCATACACTTACACACAAGTTATTGTCATGAAACTAGAAAAATGCTTGTTTTTTGCCCCTAATTCCTAAAATTTGGAGGCAATTACCCCCAAAATCACTCCCAGCATTCCCTTTGTGATATGGAACCTTGTGGTACAATGTCAGAGAGATCCATACACTTACACACAAGTCATGTCTGGAAGTTACAAAAATGCTTATTTTTGACCCCTAATTCCTTAACTGTGGGTACAATAACCCCCAAAATCAATCCCCACCTTCCTTTTGTGGTATTGAACCTTATGGTAAAATTTCATTGAGATCCATTCACTTAAACTAAAGTTAAGAGTGCGAAAACTAATGTGTCTTCGGACAACAATGACGCCAACGTTATACCAAAAATTTTTTTGCGGATGTATAAAAACTTAACATTGACCAATGAACCGTGAAAATGAGGTCGTCAGATGAAACCTGACAGACAAACATGAATACCTTACAATCATTTCATATACCAAATATAGTTGACCTACTGCTTACAGTATCTGAGAAACGGACCCAAGCATGCAACTTTAACCTTGATCACTGATCCAAGAAATGAGGTTGAGGTCAGGTGAAACCTGTCTGATGGACATGTTGACCTTGCAAGGAACCCATATGCCAAATGTAGATATTCGATTACTAATAATAAGTGAGAAACTGACATGACAAAAAACTAAACTTTTTTTCAAGCAGTCGCTGAGCCATAAAAATTCGTAAGGGTTCCGCGGAACCAAGTGTCTCGCCTACTTTTGCTGTTGTCTATGTTTTCAGTGCACGTGTGATAGGGGAATGCACATCATAGATTTACAGTTAATGAAATAAAACGTTTGAAATGTATGAAAAAAGTTATGCTTGTAAAAAATGAATACAGTACTAGTATGCAATCAAATCTATAGATTTATAAGAGTTAAAACATAAATTTATTGAATGAACAAATGATAAAGAAGATTATTTTTATATTGCTTGATGATTTATCCCTTAGAAATGCATGTAAAAAGAAGATGCAATTATAAAATTTTGTTCAAAATAATTGATGCAACTAAAAGAGTAGAATATATGTCGAAATAAGAAAATTGTGTGTTATAGGAAATATGGGAAGCATTTTTTTCCTCATAAACAACATTTTCAATGATTATAGAGTCAATTAAAATAAAATGATTAAGGGCCAGGTGACATAAATATGAATATAAAAATGTATTATCGCAAGATGTTTTTTATCAGGAATTGAGTCGTCCAGGATGGTTTATGAATCTAATAAATGTTGTTTTAAAAACTTTTAACTGCAGACTGTATGTAATGTTAACTGGGAGAAAAACGAAGTCCATTTATAATATATGTAAAAACAGGAAATAAATTTTTACAAAATTTCCTTCTAGATATATACTAGCTTTTGATCATAAACAAGCTTCTGTCCAAGTTTGGTAGAAATCCAGGATAGTTTAAGAAAGTTATTAAAATTTTAAAAACTTTAACCTCAGAGTAATTGTCATGTTAACTGGCAGAAAAACTAAGTCCATTTATAAGTAAAATATGGATAAACAGGATTTTTTTTTTTACAAAATTTACTTCTGGATACTATCTTATGATCATAAACAAGCTTCTGTCCAAATTTGGTAGAAATCCAGGATAGTTTAAGAAAGTTATTAAAATTTCAAAAACTTTAACCACAGAGTGAATATTTGTGGACGCCGACGGTGACGACATGTAGGATGGCTATGTCTCGCTTTTGCGACAAAAACAAGAATGTGTCCACAGATGCCCCACTCGCACTATCATTTTCTATGTTCAGTGGACTGTGAAATTTGGGTCAAATCTCTAATTTGGCATTAAACTTAGAAAGATCATATCATAGGGAACATGTGTACTAAGTTTCAAGTTGATAGGACTTCAACTTCATCAAAAACTACCTTGACCAAAAACTTAAACATGAAGCGGGACAGAAGGATGAATGCAGAGACTGAAAAACATAAAGCCCCTCTACTATCGTAGGTGGGGCATAAAAACATCCATGCTATTTACATACACCTTCCAACATATTTGATGTACATGTAACTGTATCCATGAATTAAGTATATCCATACCATATATATTCATTAAAGCATCAAGCAGTCACAATAGATAATCCATTTCATGACATCCTCCAATATACACTATGTTAAATACACTAAGTATAAACTGGTGAAGAAAAATCTCCTTTTAAAAATTATCCTTATCCGAGTTGAACCCATATCTTACCCTCTGCTCCAATTGACACTAATCTAACACCCTTGCTGGCAATAAAATCAAGAGCTTTATTCACGTTGGCAATTTTGTGGAACCTCATTTTTCCTCTATCTGGTCTGGGTAACTGTTCCCCTGATATAACTTCTAATAATAACATAAGTTTTAAGCCATTTCGAAAGTCCTCATCTATATCTTCTATTTGAGTTCCTGCTTTCCGTAGATGTGAATTGCACCATGCTGTGAATGTCTAGAAAAAAATAGAATAATAATTAAATACATGTAACAACACATAAATTTGGTACTTCTGAAGCGCTTTTCTGAGTCAACCATCAGGAACATTTTTCAATACAACATGACTTAAGTTCTTTTAAGAAAACATGTGGACTGTACATGTACCTTTCATTACTTATACATGTATAAATTACAAATTGTAAAATTAATACTTTAACATCCTAAAAAGGGGATTTTGGTCTAGAAAGAAATAGTACAGAAATAAATTTGGTCATGTCATTGTGGTCAGGGTTTTTTATAGCCAATTTGCACTAATTTTTGTTTAAAATAATTTTCCAGTTATAAAACTGCCATTCTTTATTGTATCATTTTTTATAGCCAATTTGCACTAATTTTTGTTTAAAATCATTTTCCAGTTATAAAACTGCCATTCTTTATTGTATAATAATTGAAAGGCTCTCAAAATTATTATTTCAATACATGTACCTACAGGAGGTATTTTCTAATGATCTCTATATCTTGTTTACTGACAGAAGAATGTACTGATCAAGATCAGATGAGTTATCATCAGTATTTAATAACTTTTCAGCAAAGACTATTAATAATTCCTATCAAAACTTTCATTTAGTAACATGGAAAAGCAATTTTCATGATTTTTCACAAATTATAAACATGTACAAGTTTGAATTACCATGTATTACACAAATACACAAGTATCACCCTCTATTACATTGAACATTTATTCTTATCTTTAAATGTGACATAATTTCATGCCAAATTAATTTAAGTATATTATATTATATAAAACCCTTGAAAAAGCAAAAGAGTGAAAAATATTTTTTACTAGACAAAGGAAACTTGTAGAAGAACTCTGCAAGAAGGAAGTAAAGTTTGGGTTATTAAAAAAAAAAAACAGAATAAAGGGGCTATTCGAATTCATATATGTCAATTTAAAAGAAAAATCTGCTGTATAAAAAAAGATTACCACACTAAAGTGCCCTTTTCTAAAACTGACATATATATACATGATAAAGAACATGACAATCACAGACATGTACACATATATACAGTAGATTCATTATCATACTAACATAATAGAAAAACAAAGGATATTTGGTATCCATCCATGACACAAAATCAGTATATGCACAGCAAATAACACACATACATGTACATAAGTACAAAATTTTTGTGGTTGAATGTAAGCTACATGTACATGTATAAATTGGACAGTTTTATACCAC